TATAAGATATTTCTAGCAAATATATGTTTTAGTTCCTGTAGAGAGTCTTTATTTGGTGGAGGACTTACCCACATAAATAATATTCATTCATTTATTCAGTCACAATTTCCAGTTAAGATGTTCTTATCACACTTTAATTAATGACCATAGAACCTTGCTTTTATTTAACATCCGTCTACACATGCGTAATCATTAACAACATAATAACATATAAGCATGCCTATGTGAGGTAAAAATAAAGACGTACAACATCTACAGGAAAATTAAAAATTTAAGGCTGATGACTTAAATTTGTAATTTCATGATCATCAAGGTTTGCTTGTCAGCAAATATTGGGCACTATTGGCAGTTGCCAAGGTAAAGTGCTCAAAAAATGTTGGGTCACATAAATGGAATGCACTGCCACTTAAACAATTAGCCCTTGTCTCATAGTAGGGTCTTAAATTTAAGAGGGAGCACTTAAAAACTTTCAGAGTACAAGCATAGTGCTTTAGAGGTATTTTGATCATAAAGAATCAGAAACTGTATATTTCAATATAGTGTCAGTAATTCCCATCATGACTGAAAATCGGCTTTTCATCACTATTGACTACTGTCTGGCAGTTAAAAGGATGATATTCTTTACACTGTGCCAGTATAGCATAAAAACCTACTTTAAACTAACACATGAAATAAAATAATTTGTAAATAAATCTCTTCTGTTGGCCTTGATCTTTTTGTAACTGACGTATGTTTTTCAATACCCTACACTGGGTATAGAGAAAATATTTGTCAAAGACTTACCATGTGGTAAGATGGATGGATGTTAGCCACTTTCATATTACTTTATTTGTACATTTACATACCGATATACAGATCAGCTCCATAAGCAGCCAAATGAAACAAAATGGCCAATATCTACACTTCTTGACTAATAAAGAATTCAATATCAGTTAAAACTTGAACCTTACTACTACGGATAGCTGTTTTGAACAGTGTGAAATCAGTAATATCTGAATCACTAAGTGAAAAAATGCATTTGATTGACTCTCATGTCAGGAAGCTGTTTGAAGACTACAATCCAAAATTCTGAAGCAAATCACAGAACAAATAAAAGAAACAACACAATACCAGACTGAGTGACTGAAAGTGAATTGTCTCAAATTCAGAAGCAATTAATAACACCCTCATATAGTGATAGCTGACACTTACAATATCCCTTCCATCTTTTACAACTTGACCATGCAGGGTTCCTGCAGTTTAAAAATCCCATTTAATTTAAACTTACACTGTTAACCAATTTCTCAAACCAGCAAAAAAAATCTGATGCAGCCTCCATTGAAATATATTTTAAAATTTAAAATGAAGAAGAAAATAACACAAATTTGTAGTAAATTAGAGAAAGCCTCTTTTGAGGAAGGAAAAGCACTAATGACTGTTATGTGCAAACTCTTAAAGACAACCTTAAAGATTTAGAACAGCTTTAAATTTTTGGACATATTTTCACATCATCAGGTTCTCCAAAAAATGGTAATTCCCTAGGAATTACCATCTAACTCCTTTAACTAAAAGAAGTTGACAAGTCAAGTATACAACAACAACTGCTTTAACAGCAAGTGATCAACTGCAACTTTTGGCATAATGTTAGGAACATGGGTTAATAATTACATGGACAACTTTTTAGTAATGATGTAATGAAAATTTTCTCAAATTATAATATAAAAAAGTGATGGTTTTATTTCAGAAGATGACGGTGCAGTTCCCTAGGATGTTTTCTAGGATAGACACAGTACTAAATTTTCAGAAAAAAAATAGTAATGGGAGAAAATACAGTTAATAATTTTCCTACAAAGGTAACCACTGCATTAAAATTGGCAAATACAACTTGAAGAATATCAAATGTACTTCCACATATTACCACACAACGTGCTAAATATTTCAACCAGAGATTAAGATAACATGCATTCTTTGCATGGTGTTGAGATTGAAGTTCTGATATCTGTTGGTAAATTTTTTTTTAATTTTTCAAACAGCAACCTAAAAAGTTAAAGAAATTTCTAGTAAACATGTATGTAAGTTGATTTTGCACCTTTAAAGAGCTTAGTCCTTACAACATTCTCTGTACTTATCATTGCAGACTAGAGAATCCACCAAACATTAGCAGGTCTATTTGGGTGCATCAATTCTAATGGACCTGATATATATATTACATGTTACGTTTACACATAATATATCTCATAAAGAGCATTTAACTCTTAATACAGAATTCTAATTTCCAAAGGCCTCCAAATGCTTTTCTTTATTTGTTTGGTGTGAAAAAAGACTAGTTTTCTATATGCATATATCTATGGCAAGAAACAGCGTATAGTGCTAAGTGCTGTGCCCAAGAAGATAAGACACAAAGACTGCAGTTGAGACACCAAGTCTACAGACATGTTTATTGACGTGTCTTTGAGGAAATGACCAATTTAGTAGTACAATAAATTGGTGATGTGGCCAAATTGTTGAGCCACTTCAAACAGTACCTTTCTGGCATAATTGAAAAGTTATGTGAAACAAATTTTCATATAATTCAAAAAGCTTTGCACTAAAACTTAAATGTGAATCACTAGAGGTCACCACATGTAGCTGAAGAGGCAATCCACAATTTTAAATCTCTATATGACAAAAAGTGGCCATTTCACTGGATGTTGAAAATAGACAAGAATTTTAACAAAGCAAAATATATGCTGAGTGTGTTAAAGTGCTAAAATGAAAACTACAATAATTGGTAAGTTTTCAGCTGTGAAAAGTGCCTACAGATATCTGAATTTTATCACATTAACTTTATACTGAGATGACTTTAGAAAGCTGTTTCCTTCATTTCATTTCTACCTCACTTTTGTTTAAGGGCTGTTGAAGACTTCACTGATATGTACCAAAGTGCAATTGTTTGCTGTGTGCTGTGTAGTATCCTGTTTACTTGCTTGGGTACGTCACCTATTTGTTCTTTGACTTACGAAACAGTACTTATTCTGATTTAGTACAGACTTTCTTAGATTTGTACTATCCATAAAAATTTTTTCTAGACAGTCAAATTATCAAAATATATATGCTACTAAAAAAACTAAAAATCCAAAGGTAATATTAGTGGAAGAATTAATTGTTTATGTAATGAAAAATTAATCAATTCAGCAGCTGTGCGTGTACTGGTACAAGTAAAAAGTATAAAGTCATTGAGTTTTAACTGTCGCATAAGATGTTCAATGAAACTGAAGCCAGATTAAAAAACACATCTAGGTTTTACTCCTGAGATAATTGGAATCTCATAAAAAGATACCTTTATACTAAGACTCACAATTTGGCACACCTGCAAACTGTTGGCAGATTAGCTTTTCATGGATGCAAATGTTTCTTGAGCACTTTCCATTCAAGAGTAATCATCAATTTCATCCTCCTAGTTTTAATACAGAATAGATGTTTGGATGTATACCTAACCTAATTCATACAACTAAGAGTGCTACTGTACACACTATCAATGATCATTTTCACCAAAATAAGTTATGTCTTTCTAGAAAGAAAGCAGCCCTCCTCTCCCTTTCAGTTTCTCTGGTAATAAGTATAAAGAGAAAACCCATGTCTATAGCTATCTTTCTTCTAATCGTGTTGACTTTAAATGAACCGGCATCAGACATGTGGGAGACAGTTTCTTTTTCACAAAGTCATTTCAAGTTATTGACACCTCCACATGTTCATATCAATAATGATATATTTTAAGAGTATTTGAAAATTTATTTTCAACAAAGGTATCATTCAGTGTGACAAATTTTTAATTTTTTCCCCCTGCAGTTAATACCCTCCTTCCAATAAGTGCCTTCCATCTGAGACAAAATTTTAATGAGTGCTTGGGTGCTCATTTGACTGAACACTTGGGCAAACCCCTAAAAGCATATTGTTAATTAATAAGAGAAAGTTTAGCCTTTCTTGTTCAATAATTTCATTTTCATTTTTAGTAACAGAAATTTTACATTTTTTTCAAAATCTAATAGTTTGGTTAACTGGTTTCATATGCTGCCAAAAAAACAGTTTTACATTCATTATAAACATAAAACATCCAGTGAATTGGCAAAAGCCATGATTTGTAACAGGATTACAATTGGTCTAAGTTACTTGGTCAGTGACTAATGCATTTGATCAATTCACCTCATAACTATAACACTACTTTAAGAGCAAAGCAATAAGAACTCGCCATAAAGAGTTAACATTTGAGGTTCACCGCCTCAGAAGGACATGAAACTTCTCCATGAGCTTGATCAAACTAAAGTGTGTGAAGTGTTTTAAGTAAAGCCACCTAATTGTTAACTACGGACAACTCGTTGAGTAAATAAGAGTCTTAACAAAATCGTCTCCGGAAGTTTGACAAACTCTGCGTCATGTTTTAAACTGCTGTGAGGAATGAGCTTAATCAACCTCGTTAATCAATATAAGAAAATCAAAACAAACACAAGGTCGAGAACTTATCTTTCTTATGAGATCAGAAAAGAGTTTCGCGTGCGATCTAAATTGGCCTCGGATAATTTTGTTTTTACAATTTTTTCTCACATGAGAAACCTTAATTTTCAGAGATTTTAAAGCTCCTTATCTCTACTTATTAAGGAAAACACCCTCTTACCACTGAATGGTATCTCGTTCCACTTGCTGAAATTATATTTTAACTTGTCATGGTTCACTCCTTCGTTGTCTCCAAATGGCGTTACAATCGGGGGGAAAATTCCACTCAAATCGAGAGAGCTCATGGCCAAAGAGGAGGAAAAGCGAACTGTTTTCAAAAATTTCCGAAATGGATCAGCCTTAAAAATAGCTGCTTTGTTACTCTCGACGCAAGAACGAAACCAGTACCCTCTTCTTAAAATCGGAAGGTTAAAAAGACAGATACTTGTAAGGTTCCCTCTTCGAACGAGAACTGCCGCCATAATAGGAACAAGGCTGTACGCTGACCAGTACATAATTGAGCTGAACTTTGGGTCCTGAAAGCGTACAAACTGCACACAACTCAGGGGGGAAAACAAACTTTGGAAGATGTAGTAACTGACAATATAGTAAAAAAATCAAGGCGTCATAATAGGGGGACATGAATGAGAGGACACTCCGCCGAAATTCGCGTCATCTTTCGAGTTATGCTTTTCCTTTTTAATTCGCCTTGCTCCGTTTTCTATCCGCCTGACTTCTTTTTGGTCTTGGAAAGAAAAAATTCGCTCAGACAGAAGTAGAGAGGACTATATCCTCTGCTGAAAAAATACTCTTTCTTTTCAAGAATCCATCTACAACTAAGTTTCTTTCGTTTACATTTTTAGTTTTGATTACTTCCGTCAATAATGGGTTTAGTATTGATTTAATCAACTCAACAAATAAATTGTACTTAGTTTTAATTAATAAAAGAGAAAAGGCATCAGTTGGGCGGTTTCTTTGACGCAAATTTCATTGTAACCTCATCCTGTGATAAGTTTTTCCTCTTCGAGTCGACTCACGATCAGACATTTCTTGGGTAAGAAACCTGAACACGCTTTTGAATTTTCCTTACAGAAACAAAACTTGGCCAACGTAATGCATAAGGTTTCTTTTCACCAAGTGTTTTGATGCAACACAAATTATTTTTCGAGTTTTTACGATAATTTTTTTAAGGCAAGTGCGAAAAGTACGTCGTTGGTTGGACTAAGCTTTTTTCTCAGTGTCGGCAGTATATTGTTGCGACACATGAATACGAAGTAAATAGCGGTTTTTTCGGACCTTTACCGGTTTAATAGCAAAGCAAATACACAAAGCCTCATTTATGATAAAATTACAAAGCCTCCTTAATTAGTTACAAAAAGTAAACAAGAAAACATCCTGATGCTCTTAAAGGAATTATAACTTCCCGTGAATACTGGTGCCTTTAGCTGATTTTAAGTCATGCTTTCCTTACGAGAAACAGGCAATAGATTTTGTGGACGATAGAAATTCTTCAAAGTATACCAAATAGAAAACTGATCTGCTCGGTTTTCAGTGATTTAAGATTAAAGTTCATTTTTCTTGTAAGAAATATAAAGTCCTTCTCTAGTAGGTGTAATCCTTTTCTAGTACACTAAGGGCCTGGATAGTTTCGCGCTTTTTATAAGCTGCAGTAGTAATCTAATGTCTAACTCGCCCTTAGAGAACGAATATTCCGCAACTCTGCAATTTTTAATCTTTAAAGTTGCAGCTGTATTTATAATTGGCCATATATGGTATACTTACGGTATATTTTACTTAATTGAAACAAAGAATCTTCATGAGTCCTGCTTTCGCAGTGTTTTCATCGCGTGGGGCGATAATCAAGTGCAACTTTCCGCCGTATAAACACGATTTTCATTGACTCCAACATGACAAAGTACGCCGACAAGCAAAGTGATGTGACTGACATAAATCTTCACAAAGAATTGCGAAACATAAAAAAAACATCTCGTGGATTATTAGTATGTAACAGGTTAAGGTTTTCCACAGCAAGAGATCTTTACATGACGTTTCCGTTTCTGAATTTTTTTCTCGCACCTAGTTCCGTACCACCTCTGCGATCACAACTTTGCAAACCCGACACGGTTGAATGATGTCTCAAGAGGTGAACAATTAGCTTTAAAAGAACAAATTGAAAAGTTTAATCTGGTTTAATGACATTTTAATCAGCACACAGAACTTCTGAAGCGGTCGCCTTTGTGCGAATTAAAAAAACATACATAAAAAAAATTGTCCCAAGAGACCTAAGTGTTCTTGTGGAGGGCCTGGTCTCGTTGTGGGAAGTACTAGGACTGAGGCTGTATTGTAACGCCTTAAAGCCGGGTAAATTGATATTTTCCATCTGAAAGCGGAGTTTATAGATGAACCATAACGCATATTGGCCCGGTGAATTCTTTTGGCCTGTAAGTATTCTCTTTGTCACACGATGTAGGTAGGAGCGCATTTGACGATATCATGTCAAGTTTTTCGTTGAAGGTGAGTTACAACAGCTAATAAGTTACTTGACAACTTTTCTTGCGACCGAGATCAAGTTCTAACGCGCGGTTGTCTTCGTTATAGAAGAGAAATTGCATGCCTTTAGTTTATTAGCCAACTATGTTTCCCATTAGTGCGTAATATGCCGGCGACAGTAAATATTTTTACGGTGAAAAGAACAACAAGCTTGTGAGAGCTGAACTTTTTCGATTTAAATGGCAACTCCTATCGGTTCATAAAGAATAAGCATATTCTTGAATGACGAGTTTAATCCATTCCTGGTGGACACAGCATGCAGGTTTCGCATCAGTTTGATTGATTTTCAGTCGTACTGTTGTTTGACTTAATCGTTAGTAGATCACTAAAAAACGTTTAACTTAATTATCAATCCGTTCTTATGGGAATTTCATGTATTTGACTTTGTTATGCAACGCGGAACTTTTTCTTAATTGCTTAAGTAACCATGCGAGTTACCCAACTAAAAAAACAATCAAGACTAATTGAAACCCTATGGTTGCGAACTCACGCAACCATAAGGGATTAACTTATGATCTTGTCTCCTTTATCATACAAACATTACTGTTCCATTGAAGTTTATGAGAAACGAATGTAGCATCTTTCAATAGTTCTTTGTGAGTGAGTGAGAAACAACAGTGTTATGTTTCATTATCAGAGGATCCTAACTTTGACTCGGCTTTCATACCATAAGAATTAAAAAAATGTATAGTTTGAAACAAAGTGATCACCTGGCCAGTTTTGTGTTTATTTGTAAACGTAGCATTACTATAAACTACAATGCGAAAAAGAAAAGTGACGAAGTTAAGCATAATTATTTTTTCTCTCTGGCTTAGGCTTGAGCAACTCTGCGAAAAGTATACCGCCTTATGTAGCGCAATCTATACAGAGACTAATGCCTCCCGAAGAATTACTGTGTTCATTTCAGGTACCGCGGTCAGTTCTTCGCACAAAAGAATGAAGCTTGAATTAAGGAAACCTGTAATAGTCAATTCCGCCGCTGCATAAGTTTAGGACAGTCTTTTAGAAAGAACGGTATCGAAAATATCGTTGATATAATGTACATGATGTTGTTTAGCATTTTGAGTAAATGGATAGGGTGTTTTTTAAGTCATTTCAAAATTGTCATACATTTTATCTTTATCACTGACCAGACCCATCTTGAACTAATTTTTCGTACGAAAGCTAAATGCAGTTAAAAATGTCGTCCTCTGTAAAAAGTCAGACATGGCCTAAAAGCTTATAACTATGCTTTCTTCCCTTCGATGCGCATCGTGAAATAATTTATTCGCTACATTGATTTTATCCAGTAAAATGCATGGATGTGATCGGCTTTACTTTGGCAGTCGTGTACTGCTTGCAAGCTGGCAATTTCAGCCACTTGACTCACAGTGTGAGGACCCCACGAAAGAAATGCCTGATTTTGTCCAAATTCTTGTCAGTTGTCGACTCGTTCTTTTGCAAACTTTACACCAAGTATTTGTTTGCCACCAGGGCAAAGTTTAATCTTTATGTGTTACTGTTATTTCTGTGTTACCTTTAAAATTTCAATCAATCAACTAATACAGCGTAGAAAACGTGTTATTGGAGCAAGTATGCCGTTAACCATAGGCGAGTGTGGCTTTCGACATAATATTGTTTTTATTAACAGTCATTATGTTATAATGTTTTTCCTCGTATTTTGTTCTTCTGACAACGTAGTGATCAGAAGACGAAGGAGATTATCATTGCGAAAACGAAAATATCTTCCTGAAGTCACATTGGTTGGCACTCGCTAATATTTAGAGAACTATGATTATTGTTCAGACGTGGAAGCAATACTTAAAATTTACGCCCATCCGAAGAGCTATCCAACTGATTTAGTTCATCACTTATACCTGAACATTTATGCTAGAACACGATGTAATTTACCTCATCGTTGCAAAAAGAAAACTAAACTGCTGACAAAGCGTAATCCGACTCGCATACCTGCGTGCCGAAGGGGGCGAATGTAAGTAGCTTTGAATCATAAAAGGTAGGTGGCGGTAACTCTTCTTTTTTTTTTAGTCCTCTATCACGCGTCATCCCCTCTCAGCTCCTTCACTTATGATTTGGAAAGAGGAAAGCCACCGCGGTGATGCAAAGTCCTTTATCAATGTTATTCATACCGCGCTTAACATAATGCCAAAGTCCAACTTAAGCATTCAGCTAAGTAGGAATCTATCTCTACTACTTGCTTATTTGACACAGATGTAAAACGATATCGCCAATTACAATCTTATGTGCTGGCCTTTAGACCATCAGAACTACCGTTAGGCCAAAAGAGACGTTAGAAACCAGGAGATACGCTATGATGAAGACGCCACGCTCGAGCATTTCTTAAATAGGACATGCTGTTGGCTTTGATTTAGAACGTTTCAAGTACCCACGTGGGATGCTTGGTGAGAGATAGTTCATGCTTTGCGTGCGTATATCGAGTTATGGGATTTATGGATGCAGGCCGAGGAAGTTTGGAGAGCACCATAGAGATTAGAGAAGCATACTCAGAGCTGCCTCTTGAGGGCTCTCCAAACTTCTTTAGTGAACCCATAACTCTTTGTAAACACTGTTGCACGCAGAATCAATTTCTTTCATACAAAGAGGCACCAACGGGGCAAATTCAATTGAAATCTTACGTGCTTGTTCTGCCTGCTTCATTTTTTTAAACTTTGAATGTACACGAAAAAGAGCAATTTGGGAGGTTCTTCGCTAGTTTCTTCTATTTCTGTGCGTAATGCTATAGAAATTTGAAAACGACGGGAAGTCACAGCATATTATCCCTGATGTGCTCTCCAAGTGAGAAATAAGGCTAAAATACGCGAAACAGTGAGTGTTAGCGCGGTGAAAGTAACTAAAACTTGTGCAAATCGCACTTTTTTGATTTGATTAGCAACCCAGATCGGATGTAATATTGATTTGTAAGAAAACCCTTTGGAACAGAAAATTTACCTCATACGTAAGTATATCGGTTTAGCAAGTTTTTTTTTTAACTAGTTATCCTTTGTTCATATGAAAAATATGGCCCAATTTGCCTCCTGAGAAATCAGCCTCAACAGCTTGGAGGTGTCCCAAACGGAAGGAAAACTCTAGAATACATGAGATCATGCCTATTTGGGTAAAATTATTATTGTAACCCTGCACCTCATTTACTAAATGTTGTCAACCACACAGCACAGGGTGGCCAGTTATCTCTTAAGGGTGAAAATTTAGACCATCGAATCGTTCATTTCTGAAGTTGATTAAAGATACTGTTTTTCTAAATATCTTAGCAACAGCTTTGACTGATATCGTACATTAACGACAATCACTCACTTAATAGGCGAGAATATTTTTGGACTTTTCATCACATCTATGTACAGTACAAGAAACTCTTTGAGCTGCAACAATGCTTTCAACTTATATAACTTAGGAGCCATTGAAAGTTAAACTACGATTTCAGAATGACGGTGGACGTTTCTTCATAAGTGTTGTTTAATTCACATAAACTTACATACTTAGAGAGTTATTTTTGTATTTTTTTCATTCTGCTGATAATTGACGAAATTAGTACAATACGTTACACTATAGTTAAACTACTTACAAAAAAATGACAAAAATGATATTTACAATACGTTATAAAGAATAAAATGGTTTCAGCACATTAGCTATATTAAACCAACTACTGTAACAATGCATTACTTACACTGCATATAATAAATTACTAACACCACATCATATTCAATGCAGTTCTGCTTACAGTGCTCTCTTTATTGCTACTTATAAAAACATATCTGTATTAGCATTCGCCCACACACTTAATAACATACGGCTGATCTCAATTTGTTCTTACTCTCAAAATATATACATTTAAATTAGGGTCAGTATCCATTTCTCCTGGAGAGAGTCTTTCTTCTTAATAGTTCTGAAATCTCTGAATTCTCCGAATGACCTACTCTGAGAATTATGGCTTATTTATGTGATTTAAAGGATCACTAGACAATCATTTTTAATGAATAAATTTTCCGAATATTCCTAAAAGAGTTACTTTCTGGTTAGGATTCATTGATCTGACTCTGGCCAGCCGAAGTTAACAGCAGCGTATTCTGTTAATTTCTATTTTATAGCCGGCATGGAAAGGAAAACAACCGAAAGAATATCAGTAATCTTCGAATTCCACATCTGTATTTCATTTACTGATTTGAAACATTGATTTCAGTTGTTTCTTTTTCTTGGTAAATTGAGGATTTAAATAACGATGAATTTTTTAACAGATTGTCAGGGAGTCTCACTCACTATTTCAGGAAACGCGAGCTGTATATTGCTTTCATTATGTAGACATGCGAGTATGGGGTCCACGCATTTATTCAAGGAATTGATAATGAATCTCACTGCGAGAATGTACCCTCCCCCACGAAGGCTTTTTGACAGGAAAGATTTTCGTAAAGGAGACACTTACATGTGTGAACAGTGGTCATTTTTGAAATATTTACACGTCATAACTGCCGGACTTCGCTCTCCATGGCGTCGGCTGAATTAGATACTTCTCATTTGTTTCAAAACCTCCGGCATGAAGGGAACTTTCTCTCCACAAAAGGAAGTGAGCAATTTCTTTGCTTTTTTATGTGGTTGTTTTAAAGTAATGCACGGCTTGTCGAATCTCAAGTCTTAGAGAGCGTCAGGTAGTTTCCTAATCTTACTGTTGACGGTCTCCCACTCGCAGTCCACGAAGGTTGTGCCGAGTAATTTTAGCTCCCAGAGTCAGTTTAGTTTCCTGTTGTTCTATGTTGATGAGGGATGAAATCTAAAAGATCATGCTCGCTGAGAGCAGCTGTTCGGTGAACTCAGTTGGCCTGTCATTTACCAATCGGAGATCTATCGATCGCGCCATGCATGTAAACGTTGTACCGCGAAAAGACTCTGATCGTTGGCGACGACAAAATTTTTCTCGGGGAAAATCACTTCTAAGGCAAGAAAAGATAAGGCTCAGGTAGTTAGCGCTGAAAGAATTCAAATCATGCAGGTCTGATGCATATATTCAGAAGGGTCAATAATTATTTGATTTTTGCAGTATTTAGCGATAACACTTATCACCTGGTTGGAATTTTTTTTCGTTACCATATTAAGTTTGCTTATGTCGTTTCTATTATTTAATGTTAGGTGACATGGCCCCATTTATTTTTGGTGGATGGCACTTAATTAAACGTTTATTTTAAGGAATTAATGGCTCATCAAGTTATCGAATATGAAAGTCACATTTTCAATTGACAGATTAGTATTGATATGAATCAGTTTTGTTTGAGCGTGATTCATTTTTATAAAATAATTCAAATAGTACGCGCGCTCTGATTGGCCATAAAACCATTTTACATGGGCGTATGTAAACACGGTTTTCATACTGAATCTTCTCGCGGAGTTCTCCCTGCTATTTATTTAGCAGTAACTCAGTTTCTTTAAGTTTGTTTTGAGTACAGTTATGGAAGAAGAAGATTTTCCTAATTTTTCTTTGGAGTTTAATTTTCCCAGTATTCAAGAAACGGCCGAAAAGCCAAATGAACAACAACAACAAGCACGTCGCTTTCCTTCTTTGCAAGAAGAGGCTCTTTCATTAGTTATTTTATAAAAGAATGTAAAATGGTTTCCGTGTTTACATAGCCTGATGTAAAAACGCGGGAGGTTGGGAGAACACTCGATAAGCTGGAAACCACTCCGCTTTGCGTCGTGATTTCCTACGCTTATCTCGTGTTCTCCCAACCTCCCGCGTGTTTACATCAGGCTATGTAAACACGGAAACCATTTTACATTTCTTCAATGAACAATGAGTACTGAGAAAAGCTGACGATACTAAAGGGCTTGGAGCCCAATCAGAAAAAACCTATTTATTTCAAACTATTCAGTGTCAGAATTTGGAGTTAAAGACCCTTTATTATGCAGGGAAAATGTTGCTATTTTTGCGGTATTCGGCGGTCAAAGAGAAGAGCGCATTCGTTGTCTTTAATCAGTTGTTCTTGAGATTTCCTTTTTTTTTCTTTAATTTTGAAGTATGAGGTAACTGTCTTCATTTTGTTCCAAAAACATGTTATTTGGCTATTTTTTAACTGAAGGCAGACGTGAAGTAACCATGGTTAATGAAACATCAACTATGCTCTCGTCCATGGAGAGAGCTAATATGAAAACATCTAAAGAAAAAAGTCAAATTCCAAAGAGTTTGACCGCAGTTACATCAAGTTCTCGCTAATATTACGAGTTTAAAGCTTTCTCCAAGTAGACAGACAAAACTAGTGATTCACTCAACAGTGTTTCGTTAACGCAACGACGCTGAACGAAAAGCTACGAAAACAGCCGAGCGTGGGCGTAGTTACGAAAAAAACTGATAGCATGGCTGAGAAAATCACCTGAAAACATTTTCTAGTAAAAGAAAAAAAACTGACTTACCACAGAAGGCGTAAATGAACGTAAGGAAAAATTAGAAGTGATTTTCGATTTCAAAAGATGGGCAACCGAAAAGTAAGAGATGTCTTCTCACATTCCTACTGCAGCTTTATATTTGTGCGTCCAATTTGTAAAAAAGTTATAAAAGCTTCAGACAACCATTTAGCTTTTAAAATTACACACTGCACCAAAAAATGCATATTGCTGTGTAATTCTTGTTCTCGCAAAATACTTTCTGCCACAAATTTCGCTTAGCTTGTATTACGTAGTTGGAAACTCTTCTTTCAACCGGAATAGGACCTAAAGTTCTTGTAGTATGACGTTAGGTATTTTCTGACGTTATCGAGTCAAGTAAAGCACCATTATGCACTATTTCTCGACACACGTTGCATTACGCATTCAATTAGGGAGATTAGGAAACTTAACACGCCGACGACTCACGAACTTTCATTTTTCCCCGTGGAATTTTCTCGAATGGGTCATTTTGTGCTGACAATTTCATATCCTTCCTTGGGCAAACATGTGAACGTGATGTTACGCTGTGAATAGGGCTGCCAGTTGGCCTGTTCCGATTGTACGCGGCAACTTTAGAGCAACTTTTGGCGTTTGGAGCAACCTTTGAGGTACTAGCAACTCCGAGCAATTTTTTAAAGAAACTTTTAGGTTTAGAGCACATGAAGCACGATTAGGTCAACTTTTGGATTTTCGGCAATTTTTTAGAAACTTTTTGGCATTCCAGTGAGCAACTTTCCAGCATTTTACGAGCAAAGTCGGGACAGGCCTGGCTACAAGACCGTCAATCGAGCTAGTTGAAAAAAAAAAAGGTCAGGATAATTTCGATAAATAATTTTTTGCGGCTCGGTATTTTCTTATTCCGTTTTGTTTGTCGGATGTTATAGTTACACGGCTTAGTGACGGCTTTGAGGTAATCGGGTATTACCTACAATGATCCTCTTAATACGGTACACCTCAACCTAAATGGCTTTTCAACTTCTCCGCAGAAATATTTGAGCAGCAAAGTTGTGGTTAACAAGTAATATTAAGTCTAGAAGATGCGTCGAAGTCCAAAGAAGAGAGCAGTTTATTTTTTGAACCATTCTTTCCACTTTCTGGTTTTAAGGATAGTAAAAATTTCTCATAAAAAGAAAATCAAAAGGCTCTTCAGGAAGCCAATCATAGTGTCTTTGGTCAAATTAATCAGCCTACGTGTAGCTGTACCCTCCCCCCAGGGAGAAACGGAAAGGAAGTAACCCTCCCTTCCGTTACTCTTTGGGGGGGGGGAAGGGTACGTAGGCTACAAACTAATAAGGGTCGCCATGACACATGAATTGAGAGTAAAACGTACAATAATGATAAGTAGCCTCTATTTCAGGAAAGATTAAGATGATTGCTATATAAAAAGAGAAGTCTCCACGGTGACAGTTATCCGTTTTTAAATTAGTTTGTACGTTTCAGCGCTTTTACCTTTTACCTGGGCTGATTTAATCCAGGAAAACATCAAATTCGCTTATAGTTGATTTCAATATCAAATATCCAATTAAACACTCGACATTAGCGATCTTTGTTTGATGGGTCGTTTGTAATGACTCTAAATTGACCTCCATGAGTTAGTACCCTCACTGAACGAAAGTGTACGTGTACTCGATAGCTTCTCGTAATAACTTTTGCAATGACTTCCTTTTATACTGGACTTTGAGTCTTTGTACTCTTGACCAAGCAAAAACGTCACATGAACTTCAGTTAAAAACAGGATCATTTAAAGAGACGTTGTTTTCAAGAATTCTACATCTTCTCAACAGCTATGGTAATTGTTTTGATTAAAGAATAAAGTGAGCATTACTTCAAGTGAAATAGATCGATAGATGATTATTCATTTCAACCTTTAATTAAAGGTGTATTTTTTGAAAATCGCAACATTACGTTTTAAGACTTTGAACAAAAAACGGAGATTATTTTCCTTCCAAGAGGTCAACTAACTGCGTAGAATATTGGTGGTTATAATTGTCCGCTATTCACCCACACGGCATCGCTGATTCGGTTGATTTAAAATTACTCTGCCTTTCCTTGTGGCAATCTAAACTCAAACCTCGGTATCCTTCGACATTCGAGACTTTTCCTCGGCTTCCGAATGTAGAGAAGGCTTTTTGTCCAAAAAAAAAAAAATTAACAGGTTGGAAGCGACAGAGCAGAAATTTTTTGATTTAGCTATCATAAAATGTTACAAATTTTGTTTTTTCACTTTTATTTAACGATGGAAAGTCCGTTATTGATATTCGCTGTGGGAGATAACCACTGAAGCTTTGAGTGGGATCAAGTGTTTTGCCAAGGTCTAACCGCACTTATCTCATTAAAATGGAAAACTTCAGTGCAGAGAAAAGCCCTCTCAGGAAACTGGTAACCAACCACATGTCTGTTATGCGAAAGTTCTTCTGTTTTCGTTAAGTACTTGAACATATCTGGAATACCTTCGCTTACAAAGCGCTTTACTCCGTTTTTTTAATCAGACTCATTGGTACCGCAAAATTAAGAAATAGTAATTCAATTTACTTGCCATATAATGAATAGCGAAACTTCGTCACAAGAACACTATTAAGTGATATTCTGCAAATTTTCCATCTGCAAATGGAAGCTATTTAAATTACCTGTGCGTCATGAAAATGTAGAAATCAAGGGACTGACTCAATCGAAATATATTAAACGACGTATCATTCCTTTAGCGGCTATGTGATGAAGCACGTTGTCTGTCCTTTAAGAAAGGAACTTGTTTTATTTCGAGCAATCTTTAACTATTCGAGACTTCCTTTTGTCCTCCACGATTTAATTTTAATTCTTTTAAACTCGATTTCCTGGGCGTTTTTTTAAACTTTTTATCGCTTTGTTAGAACCTGTCGCTGATTGAAATGTTGTAAAATTTGATCCTGCTCCCTCTATTATGATTTTGGGCAACATGTTGTGTGTAAAGTGTGAACGAACGGGCGGCACTCTTAAGTAGAACCTCTTTTGAACAAAAGTCGTTAACGATGTTATGATTCACTAGTCTTCTTTGCCGACTCTATTAGACCTCTTGAGAGACAAGAGCAAAAAATGAATGAAATGGAATAAACAATTATAGAACTGTTATGGTGATCACTTCCGAGAGGGAAGCTTTTAAAATTTTTCGATACCACTGCAAGGGTTTTTGAAATTAGGTCTTAAGATCATTGCTGGATTTAGAGGTTGATATATTCCGGTTTCACATGAAATCAGGAAGTTTGTAGAGTTTTTATATGCACAAAATAAGTGAACACTGGTTATAGAAGTGTTATTCATGAGAGGAGTAGAACCAATGAAGAGAAGGCGGTCGTCATCTTCGACAACACACACAAACGACAGCTTCGATTGTTTTGTCATGGCATTGCTGCGTTTGGGCGTCTTACTGGTACGTTTAAAGTGACTTACCTTAGAACAGATCTTGTCGCTTGAAAACAGTTATTTCGCGAGTGAACGTGACTAACTGATTGCGTTTTTCACCGACCTTAAAGTCACGTCTTGACTAGTTCGTCCGAAGTTACAAAAATTATCTTATCTGGGAACT